ATACAAAATATGCGTGAATTCACTAGTTTATATAATAAGATCGATGTTATTATTTATTATTTTTTATTATCAACAGATATAATAGAAAATTTTAGAGACATTTCTTTAAAAAATTATAAATTCATGTTGAATATCAATCATGTTGATATAAAATTATGTTCTAATGCAGTCCAACTAGAAAAATTAATTACAAAACCAAATTTTGATCGAAGGACAATTTTTACAGAAAATTTAGCTGCCGTACATATGAAAAGAACACAAATGTCTTTCAAACAACCAATATACTGGGTGATTCTTTTATCAAACAACACTCATTATTTCAAAAAGTGAAAATTTTTTTGAAGATATTTTTTTACATAGTTTCAAGTCGCTTATAAAACAACGTTAAAATTATATTTTTAATTATTTTTATCCTTATAATTTTTTAAGTTTTTTACTTTTTTGAATGACAACATAGGGTTTTAATTTTATATTCTAAAGTAGAATATTTTTCTTAGTATTTTGATACATGAAAATTGAATTTGGGGCGAGTAGTTTATGAGTTATAAGTATTTAAAGTTTGGACGAGCGGTGAAGTGGACAAACATTTCGCGGGGTAACCCCGAACCACTCCACTCCGCTCGTCTAAACTTTAAATATTTATAACTCATAAACTACTCAACCCAAATTCGATTTTCATGTATCAAAATACTAAGAAAAATATTCTCCTTTGGAATATAAAATTAAAACCCTATGTTGTTATTCAAAAAAGTAAAAAACTTAAAAATTTATAAGGATAAAAAATATTTAAAAATATAATTTTTTAATAAAAACGTTGTTTTATAAGCGACTTGAAACTATGTAAAAAAATATTTTCAAAAAAATTTACACTTTTTGAAATAATGAGTGTTGTTTGATAAAAGAATCACCCAGTATATAGGAATGTGTATTTTAGATTTATCTAAAATGTTAATGTATGATTTTTATTATAATATTATAAAGAAGAAATATGGAAATAGAGTTAGATTGTTATATACAGATACAGATTCACTAATATTAGAAATAAAAACTAAAGATTTTTATCAAGATATGAAAATTATGTTAGATCATTTTGACACTTCAGATTATCCTAAAGATAATATTTATGGTTTACCTTTAGTTAACAAAAAAGTTTTAGGCAAGTTTAAAGATGAGTTAAATGGAAAAATAATGACTGAATTTATAGGTTTAAGATCTAAATTATATTCTCATCAAATCTTAGATACTGAAAAAGAAATTAAAAAAGCTAAAGGTGTTAAAAAAAATGTTGAAGAAAATAAAATATGTTTTAATGATTTTGAAAAATGTTTACTAACAAAAGAATCAAAATATGTTAAACAAAATTTATTTAGAACTAAGAAACATGATATTTTTACTGTAGAACAAAACAAAAAAGCTTTAAGTGTTTATGATGATAAAAGATTTATTTTGAAAAATGGTATTGATACATTAGCTTGGGGACATTATAAAACAAACATAGATAGAAACGATTTTGTAAACCATCTCAATACACTGATTAGAAATCAAAATCAAAAAGATTAGAAAAATATTTGATATTTAATGTGTGTCCGAATTGGACACGCGTTTAAATATATAAGTTTTTTGCATTTCGATTTTTATTTTTAATAGAACAATTCTATTAAAAAATATTTTAATTATTAATATCATAAGTATTATGAAAAATATTTTGGGGGTTTTTACATTTAATAAGTTTTGTGAAAAATGTTTTTATTATTATTGCATTTCGATTTTTTTATTTTTAATAATTAAGTTGTGTATGCGTCGAAGAGTTCGATTTTCTTTTTTTTGCAGTTTTTTTCAAAAATTCGAGTTTTAGCCCGTTTCGGTCGTATCGCCCTCCCCGTTTGGATCTTATTCACGTTCCCCGCTAAATTTACGGCCCTACTTTTTCAGATACGAGTCCCGGGGAGGAGCGGCGTCGCGGAAACGAGAGTAGGTAACGCTAAATATATGCGTCGCGTCGTTTTTTGCCGTTTTTTTTCTAAAATTCCAGTTTTAGCCCTTTTCGACACTTCTGCAATCCCAGTTGATGACTTATTCGCGTTCCCCTCTACATTTACTCGACCACCGTAGAGTAGGTGTTACTATATACAGGCATCGAAATGCATGCGTCGAAGGTTCCTTTTTTCTCGAATATCGCGTTCTGAACTCAGTAGGTAGGTAGATAGGTAGCACGGCCACCGGAATTTTTTTTTCACTTTTTTCTTTATTATTACTTTTCGATTTCACTTCAGCCTTATCATATTATAACGAACATTTTACGATTTTTTCGAGTTTCACCGTCGAAGGCTTATTCGCGTTCCCCGCCAAATGTATAAGTCAGTACTTCGCTCGAGTCGAGTGCCGCGGAGGAGATCGGAGAGCGGACAGTGTCGTTATTACTATATACGGAAATGAAAATATGCGACGAAAAGTTCGATTTTTTTTCGCCTTTCTTTTTTTCGTCATATAAATATGATTAACGGAAACGTTTCCGTGTTTTTCGGAGGATCATGGGGAAACAAAATCCCAATCAGCTTATCGAGTTTCGCTTCTAAATCGCTCTACTACCTACTATAAACGACAAAAACTATTAAACGTGGCCGCCCGACTTGCTAGACACTCAACAAATCACGGCGACTATATTACGACCAGCACGGGCGCCCGAAATGTTATTATTTATATACATTTGATTTACGTCATTTGGCGTTTTCATGCCTTGACCCGGACGTCGCACTATCCGACGAAGTCAGATTGCCTACCAGGGTTGCTACGTCCAACGTCGAGGAAGGTGACTGACCTGCTAGACACCAAAACAATAAAACATATACCAATTTTTTTGCACGTGACCTATTACTTAATTTTGCGTCAGAAGTCACACGTTGTCCGCTATCCGACGCTAGACCCTAGGGCCTAGATCTTGCTAGACCCCAAAACATATTTTCGCGTAATTACGTCGAGGAAGGTGACTCGGTAGTCGGATTGCTTACGAAATGTTTTCAATTTTTTTTTCACGTATTTCATTACTTAATTTTGCGTTGTCGGTGACTGCAATGGACGCTGTCCCGGCCGCACATTGCCTACCCGGATAACATAGATGACTGACCTGCTAGACACCAAAAAATCAGACGGTGGCTATATGATTTGAATGGACAACCGAAATATTTTGAATTTTCTTCACGTAATTTATCCTTTAATTTTGCGTTTTCGGTAACAGTAATGAAAGTCGTCCGCGATTCGACGCAGTCGGATTGCATACCTGATGCCGTGACCCGGCCGTCGCACATTGTCCGCTATCCGTCCAAGTCGGATAGCCTACTCCTATTATTATAGCGAATGTCATTCGAGGTGACTGACCTGCTAGACACCCTAAAAAATACGGCGGATATATGATTTGCATGGACGTCCGAAATTTTTAAATACTTTTCAAGTAATTTATTACTTTTTTTGCTTTTTCGGTAACAGTAATGAACGTCGTCCGCGATTCGACGCAGTTGGATTGCATACGTGATGACGTTCCCCAGCCGTCGAGTATTGTCGGATTGCCTTCCAGGGTGACTACGACCAAAGTCGAGGAAGGTGACTGACCCGCTAGACCCCAAATACTATTACTACGGCGAACGTCATTCGAGGTGACTGACCTGCTAGACACCCACAAAAATACAACGACGATTTATAATTTTTTTTACGGAATTTTGAATTTCCGGCGGCAGTAAAGAACGTTGTCGTCGAACGTTGTTGCTTACCGGGGGGCTACCACGTCGAACCACGGTGGACCTAACCTTATCAGAGTTCCTTATCACCAGTGTTGTAAAGTATTTGAGTAAAAGTATTTGAGTAAAAGTATTCAAATACTTTTTTCCGTATTGAATACTTTTTCAAATACTTTTATTTTTGAAGTATTTGAACGGTATTTTAAATACATTTTTTTACTATTGAATACTATTTTATTGAATACTTTTTTTATTCCTTCAACTTTTTATTCATTGTCAAATAATAATAATGTCTTAATAATATTATAATATATATTTATCATTTATGAACAATTCTATAATGGTTTTAGTTTTCGTCTATTAATAGCTAATTAATATTAGTTAGTCTGAGAAACCGTCTGTTTATCGTCGACACTCGACGACGATCGGAACGGTACGTTTCGGTACCTACTACCTACCAATATAGTGTATTATCATATCGAAATATAATACGAACATAAGGTAGGTAAGGTATGTCGTATACGTACGTATTTTTTTGTTTTGTATTTGAAAATTATTTCAAATACTTCTAAAAAGTATTTGAGTAATACTCAAATACTTTACAATAGATAGTGTTTGGGTGGTATTTTAAATACTTTATTTTATAAGTATTTGAGTAATTACTCAAATACTTTTTAAAAGTATTTTTTACAACACTGCTTATCACACACTGACCAGCTCGAGACCGACGACCAGACCAACAGACCACTGCAGCTTCCGAAATCGAAAACACTCATGACCGACACCTGGGGGTCTGGGGGTATCCCCCAGCGACGCTCGGAGAGCTAGTACTGTATAAAGTATAAACACTATAGTCTATATTTTAGTTTTGGGTTGGAAAAGAATTAAGTACCTACACTAACCTTGTATAAACAAATTAACTTTTTTTAACTTAATAAAAAGTTAACAAAAAGTGTGTATTAACTTTTAATTAAACTAAGTCAACCTATAGTTAAATAAACTTTTAATTTTTCATTATTGATGCATATTAATTTAACTTAACTGAGTTAAAAAAAATCAATAACTTGCCCAGCCATAGGCTCAATTTCAACTTTGCAAGCAAACCATTGCAATATAGCATTTTTAAAAATTGTATGTCCCAGGTTTTTGAGGGGGCTACGGCTAAGTTTAAGGGGGCTTAGCCCTACCCAATTTACTCCTATGTGCCCAGCCTTGCTTTTCGGTACATCGCCGTTGAGCGGAACCGTTAGCGGGTAACGGTGCATAATTCTACGTAGAGTTGTCTACTTGTCTCGTTGTCGCGGTTTCATCCGTCCGCCCAGCACCGTGCACACAGCGTACTCCACCACGTCGTTCGCTCGCACTGTACCGGTTGCTGTCTGCGGTGCTAAGTCGGTAAGCCGCTTTGGTTAGTCGAGTGTACCCCGTAGCCGCCGTCATTCTAGCCGAGTGATCTTCAATATTTTCTCGGCTTAACAACATCCACGTTCGTTAAAGCCCAGGGCCAAGTAATGTGCCCATTCACTATATTATCATGATCTTATATGTATATCCGTGTATAGTGACAACCAATGTAATTATCACTTAATTAGAATAAGCTCTCCCTGAAACTACGTTGTTATTACTTATAACTCATAAGGTTCTTGATTAAAACAAATTCCAAATATTTAGTGTTGTGCATCATCATAATCATTCTTTCCGTTTCTCCTCACTGTCCTACCTCATTCCCGTACAAACATCGACATAGGTAGTAGGAAACCATAATTAGTATACTTCGGACCTGCTGCCCTAACAATATTTCTAATGAAAAATAAATGAATAAATATTTGTTCATGACGTTCATGTTATGTCATAATATCTAAATATGTAAAATTAAAATAAATAAATATTAAATTTACCTTTAAGATCATAAAGTAAATGCTTATAAACTATAATAATGCCTAATATGAAATACGAATTATTTGTTGAATTTCATTAACTTACTTGTAAATTTAGCACAATCAATTAGAACACCTGGTAAATTTTAAAATTGTTCAACAAAATGTATCAAACTATAATTTATAAAATAGGTACCATCAAATATTAATTAATTTAATGTATCACTAATTTCAAATGATCCAATAATGGGCCTTTCAATCTTACTAAATATTCTATAATATGCATTTTTTTAGATACTTTCCTAATAGGCGATAGCTATGATCATTTATAAATACGACATTTAGAATTTCAAATTGAAATCAACATTATTTAAAAATAGATTCAGAATATAATGTTTTCATAAAATTGTCAATTGGGATATAGGGATAATGGTCATTAATCTTAACCTTAATTTGAGAATACACATTATACATATTTCTTTTAATTTTTTTAAATACTTAATCATCTATTCTACTCTTTCTCTTTTTCTTCGTAATCCTATCTTCTGTAATAACGTCGTATTCATGGGTCCAAACATTTTTCGTAAAATACTTTTTTCTGGTATGAATAATTTATTTTCATATCATTTACTAAGCGTGCATGTTATTCATACCCATGCAATGTTTTTTTGTACGAGATTCTTCTCTTTTTTTAAGATTATTTATGTCATAGGTAACTATTCTAAGATTACTATTTTGCTTACTAATAATTAATTAAAAATATTACCTTGACAATTATCTATAAAAAAAAAAAATGTATTTTCAACCTTGTCTATTAAATATTAATACTACAAAATTACTGTACTTCATTTAATTTTTAACAGCTACTTATAATAATTACGTTCTAAAACCTAAAATAAATGTATTTAATATATTATGATAAAATTATCTCATTACAACCTCGTTGATTAAAACAAAATTCAATTTCAATATGTCAAAAAATGTTTGGAGTTACGATATTTGTAATTTGTAACATATAACTATCCTTCACCAGGTATAATAGAATAAGTTTATACAAATGTTATTTCATCATTTTTAATCTTTACTACAAAATCGTATAAAAATATGCACTTTTTAAAACATCTTTAGACATAACATCATTATTAACTACGTCATAAATATTATATTAAATTGAAAAGTAAGACATGTTATAAGTTCTGTTTGTCTTTAGATTATCATAACAGTAGGTAATTGGTATTCGTTTATAAAATAATTAAAAAATTGTCAAAATAAAAATTATAACACAAATTCTAAATCAATGCTTACACCATAATGCACCTTGTGTATTGGGATGTACAGCTATAACGCAAGCTATAAAAGCATTAAATAGAAACATTTTTAAAAACTGTTTTAAAAAAATCATTTTGATTTAATATAAAAAAATAATAAAAATTCAGTGAACGTTGGAAAATAAATGAAATAAAATATTACTTCACGATTTCTTTTATAAGCGATATGTTCCTATTCGATACTTCCTCAGCACAAAATAAATAATGAACACAATAAGTTGTTTATTTAGTAACAACGAATACAATATAACAACACAATAATATTATTATTTTAAATTTTTAGACTTTGAGTGGAACGATTAATGTATTGATTTTACAATGATATGTGTTTTTTTTTTAAATTTTTTTCTTGTGTACAAGATTAGTAGTCGAAATAATGCTTCGATTATAAACTTCAGTATCTTGTTCGATGGGAAAGTGAATCTAGTTGGTACTTATTGAAGGTCAAAATTTAAAACTCCCAAAAGTTTTTAAAAGCGCCCGGAAAAACAAAATTAAAATTAAGGAAAACCGGGAATTTTTACGCAAATTCGGTTTTTGATAAAATCGATTTTGGCTTTTGATGTAGCTCTAAAACAATTGATCGTAAATACATGAAATTTTCACTGAATGTTTATATTAGCCTTTTCCATACATGAGAAATTTTCAAAATATTTTAACTTGTTTTGAGCTGTTTACGGACAATTTCATATTTCAGTTTTTTTTTTTTTTTCTATGGATGTGAATAAAACTTATTCGTTATGTAAAAAAGCTTGAAAATTAACTGTTAACTTTAAACTTTTTAAAATGTTTTCCATTAACTTAACTTAACTCAGTTAAAAATTTTCATTAACTTGCCCAGGCTTGCGAAATACATAGTTATCATGAGATTATATACCAATATGAAATACAGCAAATTTACAGCAATATTCCGTTTTTCAAAATAAAATAATCAATGTTTATAATAAGTTCTTGATTCAGTAACAACTCATATATAAAATAATAATTCGCCTTTCGTGGACCGAAGTAAAAACCATACATGTAAACTATAGTGGTTTTTTGTTCTGTTTTTAATCAAATGAGTAAATAATTCATATATAATAGTGTGTCACATCGAAGATGCTCTACATTTTCAATGTTTTCCTTTGTTAGATCAACTTTAAAACAGAGTTTCAAAACTTTTTAATAACGCTACGAGTAGAACGTTCATCGATTCAAAAAACAATTGAAATAGATAAATGATAACATAACGGTAAACGGTAAACGATTGACATCTGAATCATCTGATAAAAGATAACGAAACAGAAACAATAAACGGTTATAATTAAATATTAATATCGAATAAAATAATAGAAAACAATTAAAGATTGAAAAATAATATTTAAAGAAAAAAAATATTTATAAAATAATAACTATTAGTTAAATAATATAATATTTTATGATTATTTTTGTGGAACTGTGATTTCCAAATAATTAAAATATTAGGTAGGTACCTGCCTAATAGTAGATCCTTGCCTGGTTGTATCTTGTACCTATCTAACCTAATTACCTACTAGTAGAGTAATGTTAAACAAATTCAAAGGTATTTTATAATTCATAGGTACATAAACGTTATAATAAATTAAAAATATTAACAATGTCTAAAATGACTTTATTTTCTTACTGAGGTATTTGCAACTCTCGAAGAACTTTTTTTATAAATTTTCAAGCGTTTTCACTCAAAAAGTGAAATGCTATGTATTAAATAAAACTAAAGTGTTGGACTAAGATTACTAATGCACTTCTCACGGTTTATATGGCAGTCACTGGCCATTGCGTCAGCTGGAAGTTACATACACATAATTATTGTCTTAAATAGGGTATTAGGCATATACAGCGTACAGCAACGGGTACATTATCGTTGTTTTTGTTTCATACACGACTGAGAAAATAATTAGTAAAAAAATTTAAAACAGCAAACATGCCCTACATTTAGAATTTTTATCGATTTTATTCGATCGGCTTTAATATAGGTACCATCAAATATTTTCAAAATAATTGGTACTAATAACTATATTAGCCTTTTCTATACATATAAATATTTTGACTTGTTTTGAGCTGTTTTCGGATATACTCAGTTTCAAACTTTTTTAGGTTTTTTTTCTATGAATGTACTTAAATCAAAATAAATTTGTCAGGTAATAAGCTTGAAAATTTAATACAAAGCTCCTACTATATTGTGACAATGACATTTAAAAAATATTAAAAATCGTCAGTCACGGTTTTTTTAAAAATCATTTGAAAGTTCTAATCTTGACCAAATACGAAAAAAACACCAAAATTAACAAATTATTTTGAGTTAGAAATTCATAAAAATTTTTCTTTTTAAAATGTAATACAAAATTTTTTATAAGTATGTCTACCTTTATCAAATAAAAGAAAATATCTACAAGAAAGTCAAATTAAATTTTGATGAGCGTTTGAAGTTCATATTTTTATAACACCCTTTATCTTCTGTGGCGATTTTCTTATTTTGTTGTAAATCAAAAAGTAAAAACAAACCACTTTAGATGCACGAAATGTTGACTGAATGTTTCTATTTTTATTTTCTATATACCATAAAATTTTGAAACTATTTTGACTCTTTTTAAGTTGTTTACGGACATTGTCAGTTTTAAATTTTTTTAGTTTTTTTTTCTATAAACAACAATAAATTTTTAATTGTTGGGAAAAAAGAGTGAAAATTTAATGCAAAGCTCCTGATATATTGTTACAATAACAGTTGAAAAATATTAAAAATACATATGCACAGTTTTTTTTATAAGAATTTAAAGTTCTAATTTTGACAAAATTTGTGAAATTTAAAATTTAATAGTTATTTTGTAGTTAAAGATGTATATAATGTTCAACTTTTATAGCTAAGGATTGAAAATTTAAAACAAGGTTCGACTCCATTCCATTATCTAAACTTTAAAAACGTATACGTTTGAGACATGTAATTATCATAATATTATATACCAAAACGATATACAGCAAAACATATTCTATCTCGAAAATTAAAATAATCAGTGTTCATAGCAATTTTTTGATTCAGTAAAAACTCATATTTAAAATAATAATTTGCCATTCGTGGTACGTACAGGTGCTTTAACTATAATAATTCCTTTTTTTCATTCTTTTTATCACCTGAGTAAATAATAGGTATGAGACTTTATCACACCGAAGAGTCTCCACATTTCTTAACATCGTCTTTAAAATACTACAGAGTAATATTTTCAAATAAATTGCCAATAATAACATTCGATGGTTTAAGACAAAA